GAGCACCGCCCGTTGCGAGTAGAGATATCAGTTGACGTAACAAATGTCGCTTGTTCGAATTACAGCACTGCAGTGTTGCGAGCGGGCATTTGTTCACACTTGTGTATGCACTACCACAAACTGGATGGAGAAACAATAACCCTCATGAGCAATAACACTACAAACGAGCATGAGTATGGATTGAATGTAAGAATAATAGCCATATTCCTTTAATGTTGGAAGATCGCACGTACAAATATAAGCAATCAATACGACTATCGGTGGTTAATTACAATTTAAACGCAAACCCAAATGGCAGGCATAAATTTAGTCCGCAGTGTAGGCATCAAGAATAGCTAGAGACAGAGACAGTAATAAGGAAGCAAATGCCATCAATGGGGTTGCCAGGTGGAATGATGCACACATAAGAGGTACCAATAAAACAGTGATATCTTATCGTTTGTGTGTGCTGCAGATGCCGTCTGCCGTATGCCTTAGAAGGCGGTAATATCACACATTCTTTGATAACCGCTTTGACGTGATCACAGGAACAACACATCTAGTAAATCCCGCTGCGTCCAGTCCTCCTTTCGGCTTTCGAAAAAGTGCTCAAACTGTTTTAGCCAATTTACATGAAGTAGCTTGCATAACATCCAATTATTTAACCGTTGACAGATGTGGCTTTATACTCAACTGTGGTGATAAGCTATTTATGTAAGCGACAGATTTGTTTGGGGATCAAGTAACACGTAAAAACTCCCGGGTCCAATCAAGAAAGGAAGCTTAGACGTTAACAACGGTACAATTAAACAAAAGAGAACTCAAGTGCAATATGTACATACCTTAGTCCTAATACAACCAGGTTCGATATTTACATAAGCAGGGTTAGACAGACAAGGACATCATGGAAGATGTTGAAAGTGTCCACCTGCATTCTGCTATACTTCGATACGTCCGCATCAATCATTGTCGAGTGGCCTGCTAGTCTATATCTAGCTATGTGGAGTGACGCGTCTGCATGGCGCGATGCTTGCAATAGATTCTTGTTCGTAGTTCTTGGAATTCCTGCTGCAGGCTGCTGGGAGTTTCCGATCATCGCCAATGAATCTACCTGAGATGGTGAGTTTGCTTGATGGGTCCAAATACAAACCGACACGTAAAACAGGCTGATTTCAAAGCGACTATCAGCAGTCTTAGCCAATACAACCTGTACACAGATGATGTTTGATTCTACTTCACACCTAACCCGTGCAGTCTGTAAGTTGCTAGTATATGACCAGTGCAGACGAAAGGCGTGTTGCTTCAACACACTTATAATTTCTATCATCTTTGAGACAAACGAGGGTTCAATCACAGGATGAGAAGTTTCCCGCTCTGAACGGTCAGCACCCTTAAAAAATGGAGTGATGATACCGCATTGGGGGATTACCAATGTTGAGTCCTTTGCGCAACAAGCAGCAAAAAAGACACCGTTTCAAGCATGTAGTAGAGGATTTAAAAAGGGGTCGTTCTGCAACTATGCTTCGAACTGAGAGTACTGAATGTGTGGAAGAACTTGCCGCGGCAGGGAGATTAGGTGTGGGAATACAGGAAATTTCTGGACATGAATTTACCGACATGAAATATCGAGAATTTTTACCAACATGCAGCTTCACAGAAAGATCTCATTTTCTCTACTTTTCTCTACTATTCAGTATTATCAAGGCAGGTAAATCTTTTTCTTCCAAGCGAATTTGATAATTTACGATTATGTCTCCATTAGACTTGCAGCGGCCACTAGTCGATAATGGCTAAATGTTGGTTTTCTCTGTAGATGTTGGCTAAGCGATAAACTTGGTTGATGTATCTGAATTGGCTTTCTAGTCAGCATGTGCATGTGGTTATCATCACGGCAACGTGAGATCATTGGAGTGTATCGTGGGTAATTTTGTGCTTTACGATAAAATAAACCACGCAAATGTTTTGCGTTGAAACATTCGGCCTTACGTGATCTGAAGACAGATGGTATCTGCCACGTGTTCATCGGCAAGATGTATGACGCAGGCATAATCTTGTCTCATTTAAAAGGCCATCGTTGACTGCGGGATACATGGTCATTATTATCGTATTTGGTAGCCACAAAGTAACGCGTACACTATGCTCATTTACTGCGCTACACCGAGGAGTAACTGACTGTGTCTGCGACTGCAAGTGTCGGTTTATGGCCGAATTCAGTGGTATAGAACAGGCTTGTTATCAAACGATCAGGAACGGTGGGAACACTTGTGCCAGGAAATGGGAATCCTACCTAAACAGGTCAAATTGGTTCGCAATGTCCGCCACGCTAACAGCTCTTTACGGGGAAACAAGGTTACTTCAAATGGCACTTCAGTCTGCAGACGAGGTGGAGACAGTTCTTTGGTCAGCTCACCATTTCCGTGATTCGATCTGGTCGGAACACAGGGTGAGCAATGCTGAGGTCCGCCCGTTGTCTGTTGGCAAGTAACCCTCTGGTGTCTCACTTCAGTGTCTGTTGAAGTTGGATTACTAGCATTGGTTAGGTCCTGTGCTCCGTACACCAGTTAACTGCCTCCCTCGACAAGGATTATACGACGTCGCTGCAACAAGTTGGGCGAAACCATGAGACGTTCAATCGATGACGTGGCATAGAGGGATAAAGAAATTGACCGATAGATCTGGTCAGGCAGGTACGTAGATGGGGGCCTCGTGGTAGTACAAACCAATGGTTAGAGACTCTATCGGACGTGGTGCATTGTCGGAGTCAGTGCTGCCGCTGCATTTGTTCTCTTGCGTTTGACTGTTTATACTTCAATGCGATTAGCTGCATGCACCTCGTTCTTGCTCCCACTCTGCTAATACCATATTTAAGTCTAACCGCATTTACTTATCACTGTTGCTATTGCCAAGCTGGCGACGCGAATCGTGGCAACTGCATCCACGGCACTTTGGTGCCCAGATCATGGTTTATCCACTGCACTGAACTGAACTGAAACAATCAGGTAATCTTTAAGTTTCGTAGGTTGTTTAGGAAAGAGAAATGCCAGATAGGACTTGGCTCACTTAACAGGAAGGCAAAGTATTAAAAACGAGAAAATACTCCTCTAGCAAGTCGTTATTATTCCTAATGTGACAGGCATAGTTGAAAGTGGTGCCTGTTTTCTTACAGTGGTTCTTTGGAAGCTTGTTTTTAGTCTACCGGCGTGCCCAACATAATTGTGTTTTATCATTACCTTTGATACAAATACGGGCACATCGAAAACTTATTGTTCAGGTGTGCGGCAGTTGTGCATCAAATGTACGTTCGTCCGACAACGCGATGTCAAATTTTTACCAGAGTAGACCCGGTACGTAACGGTTACTTCAGTGCTACGGTTAAACATCGGTCAGTACAGAGCCCACAGGCATCTAGTTTTCCACGAAACATTTAACTTCAAACACAGACCAGGATCGATCGTTCATATGTGGATAGTCTGCACTTCGTCGCGGAGAAACATGCAGCGCCGTGGAATTTGTGGTAGACAGACTCCGCGAGTGTGTGCGTCGGTGCATCCTGTGAGATCCGATTGGATATCCGGACGGCTGTTAGAATTCCTCGGGGTTTTCTCAGGGAGCGCAATGTGCGGCAATTTACGGTGCGTCAAGGAAAATCGGTAGACATTTTCTGGACGGGCTGTATACGCCTGGCTTGAAATCATATTGTCACCGGTTCGAATCCGGGTAGGGGCGGGCGTCCTCGAGGTATACTCAGTCCGCGCGACTGGGGGTGGTTGTGTCGCAGCGAAGGGCCGTCACGGCGTACAGCTGACGAGTACTTACTAGCCGATAAAACATCACCAACGGCTTGATTAAACTACGCGAAGCCCCTGTATTCAACGCAATATTCGCACAACACTGGTTAAGAGGAGTATCAACCTTGAGGTACTTAGTCGTTGCGGGCTGGAGGCGATTCTAAGTGCTAAGTCACTAATAAACCCCATTCCTGATCAACAGCTAACTCGCCAACATGGATGGAAACTAATGAACATGTAAGACAGATGCATCGATGAGATCGGATGGATCAGAGCATGAGGATGTGGCCGGAAATTGGGTAACTGATGCAGAACTATCATTGATTTTGCCGTGATATGCTTCATTTTCTACGGATGACGACACGAGCAATTTGAGTCAGAGAAAGCGTCAAGTCACTGAAAGTGAATCTTGGTACGAGTATACCGCACAGCACATAAAAGGGCTCCAAGCAGTGACCCTTTGGTAAGGACATTCATCACTAGTCGCAAGATGATCGTCTGTTTCTAAAGAACATCTCACGGCATGATCAAGCTGTGATAAGCTGTCCACCAGTAAAGATTGAGTTTTCTTATTTGTGATTTTAGTGACGGAAGGTGTTGGTGACCAATGAAATTCAACTTTGATGGTGGTCGGTAGAGGTGCATACGGAAGCGATAGAAGCAATTGTGCATTTAGTCAATGCTGAAGCATTGTGAGTGGGAGCAGAAATAAAGTATACAGATAAACGTAAGATCACGTACAAATGAACCATAAAACAATAAGAGGGATAAGAGGCCGGTGAGCAACATACGAGAAAGTCGATAGTTGAATACAGTAAAATACGAGCACAACGGAATTTTGGAAATCCTAGAAATGAGCTGGTTATAGTGAAACTTCGTTATGTTGAAAAAATCAGTAAACAAAACAATGATAAACAGTGATTGCAAGAGATTTTTCTTAATATTTTGGCATATCAATTGATATAACGTAACGGTATATAATGTTCTTCGCTTCAAGTTATGAGCAAATTGGTACTCTCACCCGATTTTAACACACGTAAAGTATAGAAACTGGAGAGGCTCTTAAAAGCTAATCATTATGTACTTTTCGTTACACTGGCGGTCGTAATATTGACAGTTCCCTATCTCGCATAAGGTGGACAAATTGTTAGAAGACGTCAGCGTACACCACAAACTCAAGGGAATTTAAATTGGGTTTCGATGGAAGCGTGTAAAAACGTGTGCAAAACGTACGGGGCTTCCGGGAAGAGTCTGTGCATTGCGATAAGGTGCTAAGCAGCCGGATTCAAGGGTTTTCAATTCGTTCTCGTAGGAGGTAATTCGACGTTCACGGAGAACGAGACGCCGAGCTAATTTGCGCGCAATTTGTTCTAAACTCGCGTCTTTCGCATCCGGAGAACGTAACAGAGTAGTCTTTGGTTTCACAAATTAAGAAACAAGAGAATTCGTTAGATAACGAAGAGCAGAGGGCAAAATAAATCAAAAGGGGCGAAAATTGACACAGTGACAATGATGCCCAACCACAGGATCAACTATCATGCAGTGAAACTCAGTGACGGGCACTAAATTTAGTGAGTGACTGTGGGACGATTGAAATGACGTCCTACATCAAGTTGCTGAAGTCTATGATAGTGTCCAGTAACACAGATAGGCATCAAAAAGGGTTAGTATAAATAATAATAATAATAATAGTAATAATAAGAACAAATAGTGTGTCAGCTGTACGCTGTAACGGCGCTTTGCTGCCGCGCGACCATCAACAGTGGCGCGTGAGCTGAGTATACTGCGAGGACGCCCACCCCTACACGGATTGGAATCGGGGACCTTATGGTTGCAAACTAGGTGCGCAGATCACTCGGCAACCGGCTCGATTCCTACCAGAAGCACTTAAATGGGTCCAGGAAAGTGGATTACACAACGGTTTTTGAAGCTAATACCATACATAAGGATGTATTTTGGAGGGCTGTGACCCAAAAGTACCCAATATGTTACGGGGCTGTACATGACAGAACACCAGTGGACGCTGGCTGTCTGTACATTTCGCGAGTGGAGTCAATGGTTACCAGACTGTTGAGAGAACAGGAAAATACACGTGAAAGAATGGGTTTTGGCCGTGAAGAGTCCAAGATCCACCCAGTTCCATAAAAACGAAATAAGTAATACTACAACCCGATCTTGAAGCACAGTCAAATAATCACAATCATATTGCGATGGACCATCTATTACGAAGGAGTATCTTGGGGTTAATCAGTTTCAGACCCAAAACAAAACAAGGCAATTCGCGAATCGGACCGGTGAGACAAGAAATACTCTTTGATCTTGAACCGCCCACCCAGGTCCCAAAAGGTTAGAAGAATACATATGGATGGCGAAACGCCCGATTTGAGTTGCGAAAAGCTGTGAAGCATGCAATTTACACCTAACCAACTCTTGCAAAGCACTGGAGACTTGTAGGTGAAATGTAAATGTGAAGGACTGTGAGTGCCATGCTATATGCAGTGAACAAATAACGACTAACAGAATTTGTGAGACTCTCAAAGGTGTGCTTAAAGCATCGAAAAACAACAACATGTGAGATGAACTGTTTGCGCATCCTTAATCACCCTGCAGATTAGCAAGAGGAGAGGAACACCCCATCGCCTGTGCCTTCATGCAATTCAACTAAATGGTCATAAAAAGAAAGCGAAATAAACAGCACACTCTCCAGAACGAAATTGTAGTTGAAATGGGGTCCAAGCAGGAGGGGGACAATAAGCTCATATAACACGAACGCCACTGAGATTCAGTCTTCACCACATCAACAAAAAGCTACCCAACCAAATGCGTTCATCACCTATGGGAGCCGAACCCGGAAGGTACTGACTAAAGCCAAGTTCGAAGTGACGATTTTCATTCATTCTGACCAAGCTAGCGGCTTGTCTGCATTCTTCTTCTTCCATTCACACCCCCGAGCACGTAAACAACGCACGACGCCGGAGACGATGTGCCAGAATGGCCCAGTCATGGGAGCTTGGTGCGTGAAAAAATGGTGCCGAGTGGTTCATTCCCTCTTCGTATGCCATAAACAAGGAGTCAAACATGATCATTGCTCACACAGTGTTCCGGCCAGGTTTGAATTAAGCTGCGAATGCAGCGATGGTCGAAAGCAACAAGCCTATTTATGTCTGTCGACCTCATGGGTCAGGTTTCGCAACCGTACGGATGGATGCACTGCACACTCTACCCATTAGGGCGGGTGATGTCGAGCAGGTGTCACAAGCGGCGAAGATAGGCAAAAACGCCTCGAGTTTTTGCTACGCGGTTCCTGGTCTCATCTTCTACTCCATATGCATTGATACAGTTGCCTAAGTAGTTGATTCTCTGAATTATTTCTGGCTGTCTCACCAAGGGCCAGCGTAAGGTGTGATATGTACGAATCTCCCTGTAAAGCTTCAATTTGCAGAATGCGAAACACGATCTGAAATGATGAGTTGATTGTGCTAATCTGTCCAGTGCTGCTTAACACGCACCTAAACTGACACAGATGAGTGCAATATTGTCGGCGCAGTATGAGTCGAGAAGTTGATCACCCAGAAGAAACTCCACACCTCCCAATTTGAGTGCGGTGAACGCAGTTTCCACAACATCATCAATGGCGAAGTTGGAAAGGAAAAATGACAGTCGGCATCTTTGGTTTACATGACTAGAGATATTGAAAGGCTGTGACAGTGTGCCATCAGCCCTCACTCTACCCGAACTATGCGTGTAAGACACTCTAATAATACATAATTCTCGGGCACACCTTTCCTACTTAGCCCCGAATGGAATGCATCACTGATGTCGGGGGGAAATGACAAGGGTGGGTCGCTAACATATATGGTGGTGCTTCGTCATCTGGCGTAAGGTGAAGGTGTGGTCAACGCAGCCTCGGTTTCGACAAAACCCGGTTGGTTCTCGGCGAATTTGGCATTCATGATCCGCTGCCAGTCTATGAAAACCGATAGAGGCTATATAGATAAAAGATTGATATCTTTATGATTGCCGCATTCCGAATGTGAGATACTCTTGAAAATGGGGACTATAACAGAGAAACTCGGCTCGGTTGGGACAGTTTCTTGCTCCTACAGCTCTGCTAATAAATCGTACAAATCATCTAAAGAGCTGATTCCATTTATAAACCATAGATACTCATTCAGTTTGGAGAATACACGTATCATCAGATTGTTGAGCACTGATCGAGCCGGATGGAGAAACGATGAGGCTCGCAGATCCGAATCCTGCCCAAGTTGAAACGGTTTGAGCATCTATACCCGTTCGCTACTATGGGGAATAGCATTGGTTTGTTGGATGTATTGATTTACTAGGGGGAAAAAGGCCATACTTTTGTTTCGCCCAGACCCTCCTCCAGGTTACAGTCCAGGGGATCCACATTATCCTTGTTTCAATACAGCGCGAAACATGATTCGCAACGGGCAACAGTAGCGTTGATTACCCTCGCTTAGCTAATCTAACCGCATAAAATGTGTCTGACGCGATTACCTGTGGAATAAGGTTGACTAAGGTGAAAGCAGCAAAGCTGACTCACCGATGCCGTCTTAGCTTCGCGAAATAGCTTGCTGTATGTGATCAATCGATATTCGCATAGTGTGGGAAATATGATCCAAATGTTTTCCTAATGTATTTGGATCAAGCAATAAGTCACCAGACATTTCATTATTCTCTACTAGTCATATATGGCGGATACAGTTGCTGAGATGACGCAGAAGCAACCTCTCGGGCGTTTGTGTTGAATTTCTTTATCCCGTCCTAGCCCACTTGGCCTACTTCTTCAACCACGATTACACCGTAAAGGATTAACACAAGGAAAAAAACATAACAACACCTTTCCCCTTTGGCTCTTGCAATCGCCATTTTCTATTTTTCATTCTTATTACAACCAAGCAGAAGTCATGTGTTAAAATTTGTGCACCTAATCGTCAGCCCTCGGTAGCTCAGTGGTAGAGCAGCGGACCGGAAACTCATGGACCGGGGTTCGATTCCCCGTCGAGGCACATTATTGTGTGTGAATTTTAATCGTGACTTCTACTTTCTACAATCTTTACACTACTCACAAACATCCAAATCTAATTTTATGTTATTGCGACACAATAACTGAGGTATTCCTCACTAGCTAACGTGTAGAATGATGATTGATACCAATGGAAATCGGATGCATTAATGCAAGCTATGGATGTCCTGTTGTTGGTGCACATAAAGATAATAATGACAATGTTGAATGAGCACGACAGTGAGCGTGATTGTATCGGAGATGGACTTGTGATAAATGGATTCCGGGGCTCGGCACATACGCACTAGCGGAATATGTCAAAGCAGGAAAAAATGCAATCGTCCGATTATCGCCCAAGAGGCGCAAGTTAGATCTGACCAAACTACACGCAATTGGGGTCTGAAAACCAGTAAGTAATGGAGATGCGGCGGGAGATTATTGTTTAATGGACCAATTGTACGGTATCACAAAGTCAAATGCATCTTGCAGCAAACATCAAGGTTAGGATCAGCTACTTTGCACGCTACCTAGATATGGTGCGAGAGTGCCCTTGTGGTTGGCTGTGTGTTCTGATTGGGCGTTAAGGGAAACTAAAACAAACTGCCGCGTATAGCATCGAAATACGAAGAAAGTACAGTCATATCAGGAATACATAGTATGACTTGGTTTGGATATCACTAAGAATGAACACCGTATCACCTTAGCACAAGACCAGAAAGGCGTCTTAAATCATACATGAAAGTGAAGATGGTTTTCACAACTAGCTGATCTCTGCAATGCAGACTGCACACAGCGATACAGACATCACTCACACGCAGCTGATTAGCTGTCCAGAACAAAGCTTGTGTGGTGCAGTGGAATTTGGTGTCACTAAAGATGAGCTAAACTAGCGCGGTTTACCCTTCAGTAGTTCCACAAGTATTCGTTAGTAGCTGTCCCAAAGCACCCCTTCGAATAGGCAAGACATGGACAACCAGGGTACTCGCATTTCTATGAAAGACTGATAATGACCCCCCAGAAGTTATTTGCAAGTAAAAGAGATTGAAGAAAGTGGCAAAATGAAAAAGCTCAGACAACTACAAACGCCAGCACAAAAAGCAATTGCATGTTTTGTTCTCACATTAGCTCGGGATTAAATAATAGACTTACCTCGTCGCCCTCGATTGGTTCAAACTGGTACTGAACAGTTTTATCGAAAAGTGGACACACTTTGAGGAAATGTTCCCACGCACAAGTGCGCGTAATCTACAAGTGCAAAAAAGCGGCAGGCAAAATGAAGTTGGCGTGTATGGGAACAAGTCGCTCAACTATTAACCTCCAACGCATAATGACACTCCAAAACTGTTATACAATGACAAAAAACACATGCTTAATGAGGAGTGTGTGGGACAGGATGGATACGGTGAACGAAATGTACTCTGTATGTTCCTACAGGCAAATAATCAAGCACCACAAATGGAGAAGAATACAACACAATTGGGTGTTTAAAAAATGCAATAACTGAATTTGATCGATTTGAAAACTTACGCTAGGAGAAACAGGAACGGGGAGAAAGCAATGCTCCACAAGTAAAAGGTGGTTGGCAGCATCCGATTCCAGATTAGTCTGTCACTGCGGCCTCTATAAGACAGACAGAGGATGCGTCTACGGAGGGACCATGCGTGTCTTGCGCTGCACCACCCAGAGCTGCATGCAAACACCGTATATGCGTCAAATCGAAGGATTAAGACCAGGAGGCATGTGGATGTGAACCACGTTTCATCGACGGAGCTGACCCACACTCCTTCAACATGCACAGAACCAGCATTGTTGTGAAGATTCGTCGCAGTTAAAGTCAGGCAGACAACCATAACACATCCAGAAAAGCGCTAGACGGCCGTTTCGTCCTACTTGGACTCGTCAGTAGCGCGCACCCGCCGAATCCTGCCGGATCCGAACCCTCGACCTTACCGTCACGAACCAGCGACTTATGTCACTGAGCAATGGGCGACGTCAGCGGACCGCCATGACTGATAGCTAAATGCGATATAGCACGGCTCATCCTCCAATGTCATGCATGTTGGAGCGTGCCACTGAATCATGGCTCAGTGGTATAAGTCGCTGCCTCGCAAGAATAAGGTCGTGGGTTCGAATCGCAGTCGGCAGCACCGCGCTACTGACGAGTCCCAATAGGATGAAACGGCAGTCTAACGCTTTCATGGACGTGTGGTGGCTGTCTGTCTGTCTGAGTCTAACTAGGACGAATCCTCACAAAATACCCAATAAATCCTCTTCCCACTTACAAATAATCAGTAGTGGTCTTAGCAGCGTACATGCCACTTCGATTGGCGGCGGCTTGCAAGTTCATAAGAAGCATGAGAGTGGAGGATGAGTCGCGCTATATCGCAGTTAGACATCAGTCATGGCGGCCCCCTGACGTCGCCCGTTGCTCAGTGACATAAGTCGCTGGCTCGTGAGAGTAAGGTAGTGGGTTCGAACCCTGCAGGATTCGGCGGGGTGCGCGTTACTGACGAGCCCCGATAGGAGGAAACGGCCATTTAGCGCTTTCCTAAATGTGTGGTGGCTGTCGTCCTGTCTAATTGCAACCAATCTTCACAAAATACCCAATAACTTACAAACAGCAGCATTGAGCAGGGACGAACAGAAGTGGATAGCCTAAAAGTAACCGCAGCTATTTCCTCCACGAACAGAGTATATCAACGACAAAACTATAGATGCAAAAGTACGAAGCTGTTCCAATAAAATAAACGGATAGTGCTTCAATCAGAGACAAGGGAAAAAGTAATGAAAGCAACAGCAGTTTCTGCAGCCACAAGTTTGAAATAAATTTATCACAAAGACTCGGCCCCACGCGACCAAGAAGGTGGAATAGCCCCGAAGGGGTACCAGGTAGTAAACCGAGTATCCATTCAGGAGATTGAAGACGATGAAAGTCAGATTCGATCGCAGAGAAGATATGCATTTCGTGTCCCATTTCAAAACAAACATGATGCCGCAACGAGCGCGAAAATAGGTAAACAAGCAGTTAGCCAATGAGGTGAAGACGAAAATAAGTTTAATCGTGGTGAATCATCACAGCTCACAAGTCAACAAGCGGGAACTTTGAAATACCAAGAGATCCTATAGGACGCTTCAGCATATGTTTCGTAATCTTAGGGGAGGTGAGGTTGCAGTTGGAAATCGGATGATGACACGTGTAGCATGAGCTGCAGCCACCTAAACCTGGCAGTCCACCGTAACTGCGATGTCCACGATCAACAGGGTGGCTACAACTCCGCAAAGAACCTAAGATTCTGACCTATATATTGCAAACCGACAGTCAGAAGATCATCGCTAAATGGTCGCAACTTAAGGGAATCGTCGATTTGCGAACCAAGGTTGCATGCGTTTGTTGATGATACCGCTTTATGGTATTTAAAGCACACCGAGCATAAGGGGCCAGTGGTTTCGTAGAAATAACCACCACTTGAATATGATGAACACATGGGACGAGTCGGAGCTGTACACAGCAGAGAATGAAGGCGATCGGAGATCAACAAAAATCAGCATGGCATCATCAGCGCAAACAGCATCATTATCACTAGTGGAGAATAACGAAGTGCGGTGGCATGAACAAATTCCAGGTACCTACTGCATTGCAACTAAGAAAAACCTTATCACTCAGGCCTACAAAACAGTATGCAGGGAAACCAACTCTAACTGATCACTGAGGGTTTTTTGCAGCAACCCACAAATCTGGTAGTCCCCCATAGGCGCGAAGATGCAGCAAATGGTCATTTTGTCCAATCGGAAATCCTCAAGAGTACGCATGCATCGCCGCCATCAGTGACCAAACACAGTACCTCTAGACACTAGCGGCTTGCAAATTAGCCAGCAGCATATGCTATTAGGCTACGGGTACAGTCGGGGTACCGTGATGGATTAAAAGTCAACTGTTATATAGCGCAACTCCTCTTCCATTGCCATAAAAGTTATGAAGGTTGCAGAAGAGATCACTAGTCCCGGCACTCATAGCTTCTACTAACAGCAACTATGCACGACATAGATGAGGGGTGCGAATCACTGACGAACCTCGATATGAAAAGAACCGCATGGTGCTTTTCCGGACGTACAATTATTTGTATCAAAAATCCCCAGCTCATGGAAACGCCAAATATATTGTGCAAGGTGATGCATGGGTTTGTAATGTACGTGAATTAACAGCAGTTCTGATTGGACCACCACCAAAACATGAGAGCTCAGCTCCAGTGGTGACAACCTATCCATGAAGCGCATGACGCAATCGATCCAGCATTGTTGAACCGTCCCTTAGTAACCTAAGCCACTGGAATCTGTTCAGCTAGTAGTCTTGGAGACGAGGAGTGGCATTCTTGGTTGTAATGAGAAAAATACTGTTCCTGAGGAATACCACTGCTGTTACAAGAAAACAATTGGTTCAATAATGGGAATGTTTTCAGCGCGTTTTAGATGGAACGTCGGGTAAACAACCTGGGCTTCAGTACCTTTGAGAACTGAGTTGGATGTTCAAAAAATTGAGGTTTTTCAATCAAGCAAATAAACACAGCTAAGATTTCAGTCATGAAAGTGTGACTTTGGGTGCGCATAACGGTCTTCAAGAAATGAGATTGGACGGTGACAAAGTCAAGTAGCGAGACGACATCAACTCGGTATGGATGATAGACTAAGAGTAGTTCGCCGATAGTGCAATGGATCCGATGGTAGCGATACAAGCCATCAAGATTCACAATGATTAATAAAAATGGAAAGAAGTGAAGGAAACCCTCCAATGTAAGCGAGTAGGTGAAAGCATCAGAATCATTAGATGGAAGATTTAAGGATCAATATAAAGTAAATGAATATGCCATATCCGACGGGATTTCAATGAACACCGATGCAGATACGCTCGAGGAATTAATTCGGGAAAAACGACAGACGCCAATCCAACTCCAATTTTGTGAAATGTTCTCATGCGCTTTACCACAGCCAAAGTCGGTTATCTCTAAGGTTTGTCCACGTAGGTTCAAGATGAGCAGACTACAGGATTCGAGCGGGCGGGCGGTCAGTAGGCATGTGAGAAAAAAGACCTAGTCAGCATGGAAGATTCGTGTACAACGGGCGCTCTGGTGCTGCACCACACAGTTTGCTGTTTAACTTCAACTAGTAAACTTCATTATTAGTCCATAGTTATGCCTTCCAGATATGAGCAATAGTTCACAAACGACACGACTGGCCTCTTAGCTTCAGCAGCATAATGTGGTCATGTCGCCGGTGCAAACAGTAGCCTTGGCCCAACCGGAACGTAGCCTATCATTTCCCTAATTTGCAACCGACGACTGTGGAAGTGAATGTGGCATTGAAAATCAGCCCGACTCTTAGCAACGCACACGAAAATCGATATCGTGATGTACGCGTCCAAACTGAAACAGTAACACCTAGGGGGCGACCAATTCGAGTGGCCGTTCGATGGGCACCAAAGTCAGTGGCATGTCGTCGAACTCGTGTAACTTAGAACTTACGCAACACAGGCTAATGCGCGCAGAGAAATACATCAAAACAATTAGCGGAGTCTGCAGAGCAGCTGTTAGATGAGTTATAAAAGAGTAGAAAAGAACTCACTTGTGTGGCGTCTCGGAGAATACGCTGGAATCGGTCACGAGTTAAAGTACAAACTTCCACCTCAGTCTGACACAAAGAAGAAAGGACGTCACTAATTTTTTCATACAGGTCACCATCCAGAACCTGCGAAGAGAGATAAATGTACGACACTGTAAAACAGCGCAAGTGTAATAGAGAAAGGGTTAAGGGAAAAATAAAAATACGAATATGAGAATGTCATAGTAACTATTCCACTGTCACGTCAGCAAGTAACACGAAGAGAATGCGTATGTCTGTGAGGTTGAGATCCTGTCACATGAGGTGGCGCCCACCAATCATTATCATCACCATCAGTACACGTTAGCTGAAGGTGCGAAACACACCTCGGCTATTGAGCCAGAACACAAAAAATAAGGTGCATAAAAAAGTGAGAGCCTTATAATAACATAAAAATAAAAAAATATAATGCTTAGTATATTATACTTTAAGGTTGAGATGGTTAAAGGGAGAGGGTGAGCTGGAGGGAGACAAAGAAACTCACGACACAAATGCCACTGAGATCGGTTTGCCGTCACGACAACAAGTGTATCCAACTGAACGTGTACATCGTCCTTCGGACCACAGCCAGGCAGTCCGGATACACCAAGCAACACCAGCTGAACTAAGAGCTTTCATTCCATCTGATCAAGTAATCATCTGGCCTTCCCTCTCCTCTTCCATCCACACCACGTGCGCGCAAACAACGCACGCCGCGGCAGTGGGTGTGCTGGCATCAGTGGTGCGTGATATAATGGTGCGAAGCGGTTAACCCGCTCTTGCTGCACCAAATACGAGACAGCGGACACGCCCATTGCTCATGCGATGCTCCCATCAGACATGAAGTAAGCTGCGAAGGTAGCGATAATCGAACGTGACTAGCCCCTTGATGGGCCACGTTTCGCAACTGTACAGGAGGATTGAACGCATACATGCGTTGTAAAGGTTGTCCTTCAGACAGGGCGATGTCGCACCGGCACCACAGTTAGCGCAGATTGGCAAATGCACCTCGAGCTTCTGCTATACGGTTCGTGACCTCATCTTTTATCGCATAGGTGCTGAAACACCAACCCACTTAATAGCATTTCTGAACAACAAACTCATCACCGACAAGGGTCAGTGCAGCAGTGAGTACACACACCAATAATGTAGAAGGACTTTGCATTTCGACAGTGAAAAGCAAAGCTAGTGCTGATTAGTCCAGTGTTGCCTGGAAAGTTGGCGTACTCCAGTGAACCTCATGAAAGTCCCAGGTCATCGGAAATCTCGTGGGTGTTTGTTTCGGCACACGGAATCGAGACGGCCTTGCGAAGAGCAGCTCGTGACTGTCCTGTAAAGCCGCGCGATCAAATGATGGTTGATTTAAATGTTTACACAGCAAAACATGCCTCTATATCCAAAGTGACAGACATCCGTTCGCAGCCCAGATTTCTTATTAATTTTAGCAGCGACAAGGGGTATTGCGAGGTCGCTCGTATCTGTGCAGACCCGAGTCGGTGGATTGCTGACCGTTTTCCCCAGATGCATGAGCGACGCTATAAAAATGCACTGGATCAAAAAGTGCAACACGAAGTAGAGTAAACGCGCAAAAGCAGGGCGTTTCGCAACACGGAATGATGCATCACAACGATGGAGGCACAAGTAAAAAGAGAAAGCTGGATGTATACCACTGGACTTGATAGCGATCCACAAACCTTGACTAAGTTGGGAACATCCTTAGTGAAGTAGTGTTTCAGGTGAGCATTGATCGCGGCCAGTTGAAACAGATATTCGTTGCGTGCGGTCGCCGAACGGGCATCGCACGCCTGATGACGACTGAGGAGCTATAACGACACAAGGCAAAAGGAAATTAAAGAAGCAAGGGTTGCCGAACACAAATTGAAGTTTCTTAAAACCGATACAAAGACGGTCGGTGTTCAGATGCACGTTGTAATCGGGTTCGAAGGAAACTCATCAGAGGTATCCTAAAGCCAATTAATGAAGGCAAAATAATAGTAGATCAATGAAGTGTTGTACGTCGTAGAGTTTTCAATTATCCTCTACGAGTTTTGGGTGGCGACAGGACAATTTGATTTGAGCTGTGATTCCCTCGTAGATAAACCGAGGTTGTTCTGGTCAGTAAGATTGTAGGTAAACGTCGGATGTTGCTGGTTCCTAACATTGCGCTTCGCGACCTATTTCGTTTTTATTTGGACCCTTCGGGTAGAGGGCCGAAGCACGGACTGGGGGGGGGGGCAGGAAAAGCGGCGACCGCCAGATTCGATTCCTATTTTCTACCTCATCTTCACATAACGAGCTCGAACAAAGAGAAAAAAAAACGGTCATGGAGTGTATAGTTGAAGCGATTAACACTATTTGGTCAAATAATGTAGTTTTAATTGAAGGTGATCCACAGGAGCTATGTCACAAACGGATAAGCCAAAGTAACTTGAAGATATATTGAGGATCAGGGAGGAGGATGTCTCTTCACAGAAGTAACAAGGAAGATGGATAAGCTAAAGCGCAAGCACGCCCAACTTAAAGTGCTTATCAGAAGCGACTTTCCAGCGATTGATTAAGGTAAACAAAAGGGCTAGAATACTATTCGGTGCACAGCTGCATATCATGTGCAACAAGCTACCCTTAACAATGGGAACTGGAATGCTGGACTACTTGAGCGGCTGTTAATCGAAATAAAAATGTATATTCTCGGGTTTACATGTCCTTTACGGCACAAATTGTGTGCGCCAAGCGCCCTGGAAACGTTGACAGACAAAGGGTATGTCGGGTGCCCAGCTTACCACTAGATAAGTAAGTGGACGAAGTGAAAAAGTAAGCGAATTCAGAGATTTGTGTTTGAGATAATCCGCTCTTCAAAACCCATCGTACACCTAGACTCGTAATCGTTTGCGTGCACGCCAAAGAAACCGATTACTAATACTGAGTTCCTGACACAAAAAGCAACTAGGTGCACATGGGCGCTTGACGTGGGAGTGCTGCGGACCAGTTAAAGGGGAGCGGACATCGAAACACGTGTCTTAACAAAACAAGTCGATATGGTAAGCAGATGAAGCAACCGAAAATTGACAGAGGAGTTGCAGTAAAGGTGATCTACTTAGAGCTAAAGTGACGGAAAAAAGCAAGTGGATTGAAGGACAACAGGTAAGAACTGTGAAAGTGTTAACAATGAAGCGAACTAAGTCAGTTTAGTCCACAAAGTGAAGCGGCGTGAATGAAAGATGCCCGATATAAAAGCAAGATACATCTACAGGGGCATTTCGCAAGGAAATATATTATGATGTATAGTATGCAAAACACCAAATAAAGTGCTATATGTATATACTAGGATACAATAATACAAGAATCAAGTATCGATCAGAAGAAAACGCAAGGTGTAAATAAGATTGATTGACTATTATCATGAAGGAAGATAACTAACCTTTTCGTAATTGCGGTGCAGTTGAGCCATTGAGTGAAAAATGTCCGTTGAACGTCGGTGAATTCTTTAAAATAGAAAAAGTGCGGTGGCACATAAGAGGACAAATCAGCCGACCTGTGAAATGTAATCAGAGCGGCTACACATTGTGGTAGAAGTGGCCATCTCTCAACTCTTCACAGATAATCGGAAACAGGATGGGGGAGGAAGTGAACGAGAGTCCACGGAGAAAGCGATAGAGCATACGAAAGACGAAACGAAAAAGTGCAGATACAACAAAAAGCAATGAAATACAGCTACGGCTCGTTCATTTGCACACTCGCAAATTTGTCTCCACGAGCATGTCAAGTAGTCCCCAAAAGCTGTGGGAAGAGTGTAGGCTCATGTAAGCAAATGAAAAAGAAAAAGAGCATGGCCTGGAAACGTAGCAAACAATCCGCCGACACAGATGGTGCGGTGCATATATATACCTGACCTATAAACATTTGGCAGTGCCACAACACATGAGTAACAACAACAAAAAGGAGGAAGAGAGTCAGGAGAAGGGATGCGAAGATCCATGTGTTGTGTGTGTGCAGTGAGCTTCCCGGGGCGAATCCGATGACCGTTGACAACCAGATGGCTAATTCGTCTTCTTTGTGTTCAGTTGCAGTTCCCACCGAAGCTAGTGGCCAGCAACGTTGTTCATCCGACCTTCGTTAAATACTCACCTCCAGTTACAGAAGTGAGTGGTCAGGGACCCTATAACAGGGCATATTGGCTTTGACACAAAGCCGTACGAATGCTTGTGGTATTTGATGGAGAACCAGGTGACGAACATCCATCGGAAGTGGCGCTTTGGCTCACTTATCCATACAGTTTTATCAATCACAGTGAGCAAATCAGTGAAGAGCTCACGGTTCGCAACCATGGAGCCCATGCGTCTTTTCAACGCCTAACTTATCGACTGATGCGGTGCGAAACTGGGTTAACAATTGAAGATAAGTGAAGCACTACAGTGCGGTCGACGTCATTGCATGAAACAGACTAATTAGTGAACGCGTGCTGTGATGGTGCTTAAGTACCGATAGCTGTGAAACACTGCACATGCACGACGGCAGAAATAATCCGCACATACGCCAGATTAGTTTAGCAAAAACCCTCTGACGTCACACCTGATTTCCTTTTGAACATGTCGTCCACATTGGTTAAGTTACGCATTTGGAATGGTTGTCAACAGTCAGGATTGGTTTATTACCAATACTGCACCTGGCTGGGTGAAGTCCAGTCTTAGTCAGTTGATGATGTGGCAAAAATGTATGAGGAGGTTAACATAGCCACTTTATCGGGTTGACAAATGATACCTTTGGGGACCAGCCACACCGGTCGTTGGTGTCCGTTTCTGATACGATATAGTCGTGAAACAGATAGTGCTCTTGCCTTAAACCCACTGCAAACACTTGCTAAATGTTCCATCAAAAAGTATATCCTTCCATTCCATTCCATTCCTTTCGGAATGCCATCGCAATGTGACTGCGTTTTATCCATGTTTTCGTTCCCCCAATTGTTGTGAATTATTCTTATTGGCACAAAAATCTGTTTCATGACGATCGGATTATGCTTACGATAAAAAGCACAACTAACGAAATCTATAATAATAAATGATCGCCAGCTGTACGCCGTAATGGCACTTTGCTGCCACGTAACCACCACCAGTCGCGCGAGGACTGAGTAAACCGCGAGGACGCCCACCCTTACGTCGATTCGAACCGGTGACCTTATGGTTGCAAACCAAAGGCGTATACCACTCGGAATCTAGCCATAATTAAACATTCTGTGGTCACATGATGCAGCAATGATCTAAAGCCTTTTACAACGAAAACAATTCCTAAACGCAAGAAAGTTGGTGACATCTCAACATAGAACATTGAGTTGTGAAACGCAATGGTTATTGACACATCAGACCGGGCCGCCCAGTAAAACCTCAGCACCGCGGAGGCGTGATTACCTACGGTAGAGAAGAGTGGTGTACATCGGTTTTACAGCTGTCCGCTTACTCAACAGATTCAATAAGTTATCACCTGTTGAAATATAAACCGGTTTTCTAGTGAGTTTTCTATCTGATGCAGTTGGGAACGTTTGTGCAACGCCTAAAGCAGCATTGTCAGAGATAAAAATGTTTGCAGAACACCTTGCTTCGGAATTGCGACCGGTTAGAATGTTCCTCTGCAGCACTACGAGTGACTTCAATAGGAGTGCTGGATCAAACCAACTTGGTGGAATTCCCCACCAGTCTCGACGCACATTTGGATTCAGTTTATACCAACAAAACATGCTTTCCAAACAAAGACGCGCTCCGATTGGCAGAGTGAATTAATGTCCGAAAACTTACTGTGAAGCCACAACGTCATGATGACAAGAAGGCAAATTAGAACTGTTAAGGGGCGAAAGAGTCCAACGGAAAAAAATGCAAAGCTCTAATCGACGGTGTAATCAATTGACTTCTTAATGTTCGCCAATGAGGATCTGTCAACCCAATGCGAGCACCTCACAGGCTATATCGATTTCTATGTCAATCTCTATTGCCCCATTAAGATCATCTATCTTCGGATTGATAGATTGTCATCGCCGGTACTTAGCCAACTGCGTAGAAAAAACAGGCTTATAAAATACAAGCTAACGACCTGTGTCAAATGTCAGTGTGTGACTGCAAAAGTGGAGATAAAAGATAAGAAGCTTACATATTGAAGCTGTTTTAAGAAACCAGTTGCCGGGACCTGCTGAGGCACTTGAAGCAACTTACCGGCAAAAATTCAAACAACCCACTCGGTACTGTGTATGTGGACAAGCTCAATGCAAAATTTAACTTCTCATCGTCAAATAAGTTCCCTAACCTTCCTGCCCCAGCATTAACATCAACATAAACATCAGTCATTTGAACTCATGCTTCGTTGCCATACAACCATGATGACCTATGGAACGAAGAATGATAAGATGGAGAGAAGGGGGACTTACCGGAAACCCTTAATGTCCTAAGCATTCTGGGTCAAGGCGCCTACACCTTGTGTTAACAACATACAATCACAAACAGCTGGTTATCGTGCAAAAATAAGGCGGCATCAGCGAGAGAGCTTCCTTGGGGCTTTCAATGCCCCGCGTCATAATCAGACATTACCTTGCAGATAACAGCACCAAACTAAATTTAAACAGATAATCCGACCAGGAGACCGCAGTAGACACGCCACTGCTGTGAGCTGAGAGCCATGTCCTGTAAAGTTTCCAGTCAAGCACAAGGCTGGACACATGCACTCTAGCGTGGAAGACGAAAGGACCCACAGCACCCAGTTTGGTCATTTCATGCTGTCAAGTCAACTTTTGTCCAGCTGGGCTTGCGCCACCCTACATCTGACCGGTGGCTCAGTGGTCTGCACGCCTGGTTTGCAATCATAAGGTCACCGGTGCGAATCGGCGTAGGGGAGGGCGTCCTCGCGGTATACTCAGCCCAGGCGCGACTGGTGGTGGTCGCGCGGCAGCGCAGCGCCGTTAAGGCGTACTGCTGACAAATTACTTATCATTTACGTCTGGCAGACAAAACAACGCCCTCTTCGGTAAGCAATGACCAGGAAAGCATACTACCTGCCCAAACCAAAGCAAATCATTCAGTGCAATCTGTTGTCCCAAGAAACTAGCTTGAGTATCAGTACCTAGCACTCGTGTACGCAGATCATCGTTGCGGACACGCTGGTGTCACCTGAAACCAATAATGCTTCGTAGACAATGATGAACAAAGACTTGAAGGCGCCTTAGATCTTCAGACCGAAGGGACCAAGTCTCACCCCCATAGTGCAGGACGGACCTCACTGTGGCCTTGCAAGCACGGTCTTTCAAACGGAGAAACCACTTACTGTCGCAAAAGATGTCGCAGATACAAAAAGGCATTTCTGGTTTTTGCAACACGTGAACAAAATTTAGGAGTAATGCACCATCGTGGTTGATACAGCTGCCAAGGAAAGTGAATTAGTCAACTGCCTCGAGTTTCTCGCTATCTAGGCTCAAAGAATCATCGAGTGGCTGGTGGTTCTGCAGCAACACTTCGCACTTTGAAGGTACGAAGCGCATAGGAAAACGTGGGAGCATTAGAATGGCTATTCAGGATTGATTTGGCCGACCCGACATCCTTAAACAGCAAGATAGTAAGTCCGCATAATCAAGATCAACTAGCCTTTCGCTAGGCAGCACCTCAACGTCTGTATTGTGAGACACCGCAAGCGGACACTATGATGGGATCCACGACGAAAGTGAACAAAAATGGGGAAATTAGACAACATTGATGAACGCCACTTGTTGCCGGAAAGGCATCCAACAGGTCACCGTAGACCATGACACGACCTTTCGTGTTCAAGTTCAAAGCACACAGTGTTCACATATTTCATGGAAACACTTTTCTGCGCAAGTATTTCGAACAGAAAGCATCAGTCGAATAAGTAGAGCGCACTTTAAGTCGAGGATCACCGCTATTAACGGTCGGTGGTACGTGTGGCCCTGCTGTAGCACCTGCCGCAGAGTGAATATGTGGTCCAAACAGCCACCTCCTTGGCTGAAACCTACCTGCCCTTCCCTAATCCGGCATTCCCGTTACGCAATGGTGCGACGAAGAAAAATCCAGGCCAGTAATTTTGTCATTAAGGCGTTACGCTTATACTCCTGTGGTTTGCACAGTCGGTGCGACTGTCCTTCTTGTATATCACCAATATAACTGAGCCGCATCAGTTAGCCAGGACAGTATCTTCCTTCCACACATATTCGAAAAGCGAGGTCAGTGCTTTGCAGAGGACCTCACCCCCATCCTAAGATAATGCAGGTAGGAGGGGATCCCGGCCAGCGGCGCGAAAATATTGATGGTTGAGATTGCGTTTCAGAAGTCAGTCTCCCATGGAGCCAGAAAAGTGGTTCCCAATCAGGGGTAATTACCCTCAAAGCGGCAAAATGGAAATTTTAGGGGGATAAATATAACTACGAGGATTAGGTCATCAATCTACTGCAAACCAAAGTAAAAACAAAGTCATCTGCAACAAAACAAGTAACTGA